GGCCCCGCACGCCGCCTTCCCGCCGTACCTGCAGGTACGTCCTGTCCACCCTTGTGGGCGCCCTTCCCACAGCTGCAGACGTCCCTAAACGTTAAGTCTAGATGGAGACACTAGCTGTGGTTTTATTTTCTTCATTGTACATTTAGTTTTTAGTCTGCAAGCCACAAATACTAATTTTATAGCCAGAAAATGATTGATTTTAAAAACTGTTACTAAGCCCACTTTTCCCCAGACCATGCCCTCGTGCCGCCAGGCTCAGGCTTGGGCCCCTCCCTGCGAAGGCCTCTGTGATGCGGGCCTGGCCACGCGCTCGGTGGGGACACGGAGGTGGCAGTTTCTGGCCTGACCTACTCAGACCAACCTGATAAAAATACCATCTGGGGCCGGGATTTAGTTCAGTGATGCCGCTGCCTGCCCAGCAAGTGCAAGGACCCGAGTTCAATCCAAAAGAAGGAACTGTAGATAGAAAATGTCATCTGATGGTGGTGAACTAAGAAATGGGGACGTGATTTGTTTCTGGAATCTAGTTTTAGCGCTAAGGTACAGAAGGGCAAGGAGAAGAGCTGGGGAAGGGATGTGTTGCAGAAGTGGGCTGATCTGGCGCAGGTTTTCCGGCCTCGCTCATTACTTCCTCTGCGTGGCTGCCGTGGTGCGCACGAAGTACTGTGCTCCAGTGCTGTCCGACTGCTTTATGCTTTAGGCAGATTCCCTCTTGGGAGCATAATACAGAATTTGTTTCTACATCTTGGTGACAAGAAAACCAAGTGCAAGGAAAGGACGGATTCTCAGACGCACGTGGTTAGGAGAGAAGGAAGGAAATTGTCTGGGCCTGCGGGTGGCGAGCCTGACCCCAGCATGGGCACTCGGGCGCCTTGTTCGCCGCGGGCTGCAGAGCAGGCCTGAGACTACTCTCCTCTCTCATTTTATAGGGTATGAGGTTAGCTTTGCAATGCAGGTAAAATTACTCTGTGGCATTTAAAAAATATAATCTCTTTGTGTTTTGTGACCAGTCCTTTCTGTATTTAGGTATAGAACAGTGTCAGATGGGTTTGAGAAAGACGAACAAAAGCCAAACAGTAATACAGGTTACTCCAGGGTCTCAGAATATGGGCTGGCGTGAGACTCGGTGCACGCCCAAGGCCCAGACTCCGCCCCCAGTGCTGCCAGGCAAACCAGAAACAGTCCGTGTTGCCTTAGCTTTAGACAGCCCAATTTCTGTTGCGTGGAAGTGAAGTCTTAAGCCTTCTACTCAGGCTTATTATTATATTCAGGTTCATTACTGAAGCAGTTAGTTTCATATACATCTGAGCTCACCCTCTCACAACATTCAAGCCTGAAATTGAGGCCAAAAGGAGTGGGTGTTCTCATAGCTCTTGGTGGACACCCCCACGAGGGGATTCCACATGCGCAATTGCTGCCTTTGTTTTGGCCTTAGATACATAAACAGCGCAGGGAAAAGTCAGTTACTCTGCTCCTTTCAAAGAAATTTTGAAGGAAGCCAGTTGTTTTGCATTTCTATGTTCCTGGAAGTCGGGTCCAGGGGTGAGGGGGAACTGTGACTGACTGAGAGCACTGCAGGAGAACCCTCTTCCTGGGAGACGTGGGAGGGTCGGTCTTTAGCTCTCTAGAACTGAACTGTCTGGCTGTTACACTGTGTCTGGCTTTTCTTAGGTGGAATATGGCGTATTCTAGTGATGTGTCCGTTGGGCTGATCATAAAGCTTGTGTTTTGTACTTCATGGTGGCATATGGATACAGACAAAAAGAACTAAAAAAATAGTATTTAACCTACTAATCTTACATTTGTAGTAATAATGGTGCACTTATTGCAAAACTACTTAAGTATGTTAGGATAAAACAAGTTCTGTGCAGTTGACTTATCTGTAAGGTCTGAATCACAGATTCAAACAACCAGGGATTAAAGATATTTGAGGAACAAAAGGTGACATCTATACTGAACAGCTGTGGACATTTTTCTTGTCACTGTTTCCTAAATGATGTGATAGTCACATGGTGTTTCCATTGATTAGGTCTGGGCAGCGATCTGGGTGGATTAAAGCACCTGTGATAAGGATGTGCGTAGGTTACATGGGTGTGAGCCTCTGCAGGACCAGCTCCATGCATACTGAGTAAGGGACAGTTGTCAGGCTCTTGCCATTAGGGTTCGGGTTTCCAGCAAGAGGGTAGAGGTAACAGGTATAAAAATTAGAGACTTTTTTTTTTTTGACCGGGGCTTGTTAGGCAGATGCAGTGCCACTGAGCTAAATCCCTGGCTTAAATTAGAGAGTTTTGCGTTTTTTTTAATCAAAGTGAAGGTGTTATTTTAAATTTGAATTGGAAATATTGCTGTGAACTCACTTTTTCCCACTGTTTAATAAAAGTGCATGTTTTCTATCTCTACCTATCACAAAAGCCTGGAAGTAGTAACAGTACCTCAAGGAGGGTGCACCCTGGTCACACAGATCCTGATTTCCAGGCAGCATCTGTACTCTGGAGGGACAGGAACCCTCGTGGACCAGGCCCTGGCTCCTTCTCAGGAGCCATTCTGAGGTAGAGGACAGCGGATTACACCGGAAAGCAAGGACCTAAAAAGGCTAATAATATAAAGTTCCCATGAGAAGGTCCCCACTGGATGTCTGGGCATGTAGCCAGTGCGCAGAGAGTTCAAGCAGCAATGACAGGAAGAGAGTAGTAATAGGGTAGCGGGGTCCACACTGGCCAGCCTTGAGTAGTAGTGTGAACGTCACGTCAACAACGACAGTGATTAAGTCAGTTTGAGTTAACAAAAATCCCTGAATTCATAGTAATACTAACAATGCAGGGACAAAATAGAGGAAAGCAAAGCCCAGTGCACACTGTTGCGTGTTTCTACAGCATCAGCTTGTTGTTATGAAAGTTAGTGACGGCTGAAACTTGGAAACAGGCATTTATCCTGCCCTTCAGCGTATGCTATGCAAGGGAACCGTGTTCTGATATTGAACAGCACTGCTGCTGAAGTTTTGTTGCAAGGTTTGAACTTGTTCCTAAGATTCTAATTTCCTCAATGTCTTTGCTTTGAGTTTTTCAGGTGTGCTTTAAATGGATTGCACTATTAAATTGTTGTGCTGTGCCAAGCTAATTTGAAATGGTGTTGCCTTCTTGATTTTCCCTGATGGTGGTGGTTCCCTGTGTGCTTTAAGCGGACTGTCTCGAGGGCGTGCGTGCTTTTATCTCACTGCTCTGCGTCCCTCTGCAGCAGTACCCGGGTGTGAACCAGCTGCCTTCTGCACTAGGAGGGCTGAGTCTTCAGAGCTCTCCACAGCCCGAAAGTCTGCGGCCTGTCAACCTCACACAGGAGAGGGACGTCCTGCCAGCCACTCCCGTGTGGGCTCCCGTGCCTAACCTGAACTTGGACCTCAGAAAGCTGAACTGCAGCCCTGAGTAGGTATTCGTATTTGTGTGTCTCACCTACTTTGATGAAAATATGATATACTAATGACTTTTGAAGATGGTAAACATAGTATAGTACCATTTCCCTGATGGGAAGTTTTGTTCATGTGGACTTTTCCATTTGGGTCTGAGTAGAAGTAGACGTAAAATTCAGGCTCGGTTATCTGTTCCTCGTCCTGCCTTTGTCTCAGTCCTGTCGCATTCTCCTGTCACCTAGTGGTAATTAAGAGTCCGGACACAAGAGGTAGAGAAACTGACCCCCTTGCCATGGCTCTTAACAGGCAGCCGTGAGACGTGCGGTCCGCTTACCCTCATAAAGTCTCGGTACTATCAGCCGAAGCACAAATACAGCTCATTGCCCTTTCCTCCAGGTGGTGGGCACTGTGATTGTGTCAGATCTTGGAATTTGTGCTTTGGAATATTTGCATACTCTTTACCAGCTGAGCATCCTAAACTGAAATGCTCCCAAATCTGGAACTTTACAAGCATCTTGTCTACCTGGAAAGTATTGGGTTTTGGAGCGTTTCATGTTTCATACTTTCAGGTTGGGGATGTTTGCACCTGTAGTGGTAAGGCCTGTGTATGGGCTAATCAGTAAGGCAGACATACTGTGGCCCCACACTAGTGAGTCTGATAGTGACAGCATCACTACGGGAACAGGATGTCCATCACCAGGGAGCGAGGCTGGTGGCCAGCACAGGAGTTAGCACTGAGCAGAGCCCTGAACAGAGAGCAGCAAGGGGGCCTAGGCCGCCCTTGAGTCCCCCGGAGGCCCTGCCCTGCTGGGGCGCAAGGCCTGGAGCTGCTGGAGGACAGAGGCCTTCCTTGGGTGGGGGTGGGCACTGGCCTAGCCCCTGAAAGGCTTGGGGTTTGATCCTCACCAAAGCACAAGAGTGGGGGCAGTATGCTCAGTACTCCTGGCTTCCCTGTTTGTGTCCTGCAGGAAGTCCTGACAGAGTCATTTTCTCCCAGATGTGTTGCCTTTGCACCATGAAAGGGTTTACTTTTTGTTTCAGGTCTTTCACCATCTATGACATATATGCCTGTGTAGTTCAGTCAGGACCTTCTGCATAGTCACGGCGTGCCCACATGGCTCACATGTCCTGCCAGTGCCGTGTGTTTTCCTGACAGCATTGCTTGCTTCTTGCAGTTCCTTCCGGTGCACTCTGACCAGTATCCCACAGACACAAGCGCTGCTGAATAAAGCCAAGCTTCCTTTGGGGCTGCTGTTACACCCCTTCCGAGACCTGACGGTAAGGGACGTTTTAAAATACTGGGCCACTAAAATGTGCTTGTGTCCAAAGGATATAGATCTCGTATTTTCTTAGATTTTCATCTTTGATTTGGAGTTAGAAATAATCATTTCTGTCCCATTTGTGTCAACATTTTCTGTTCAGCTGCTTTGTGGCAGGCCCTCCAGTACATGCTGTTAACACAGAGGTGTTTTGGAGGTTTTCTGTAATGATAAAGTCAGCTCCATGAAGAAAGAAGAGGGAAGCGCGGGAGATGGTAAACTTCAGGTGACCTTCATTAAGCAGCGCTGTCCCACTAGGGAGGAGGAGAGCCGGAGACTTATGTTGAACAGACAGCCTGTGTGGTAGGAAAGCCGGACGCTCAGGTCTGCTCAGTTAAAACATCTGCAGTCTGTTTGGCTTCATACAGAGCCCACTAGATTGCTACCTCTACTGGTGTTGCTTGCAAATACATTGTATTTAAACTAAAATTTTAAAACTAAGAAAAAATTTGAGCTGGAAACATTTTGATTACACTTCTTAGGTTGCACTTTTTCCTGTCAGTCAGCCTTTTTGGTATTTTCTAAGTTGGGTAGCAAATTCCTGTCCCAAGCTGAGCCGGGAGGTGCATTGAAGTCACACTGGGGTGTGTGGGGTTGAGGGCCGACCAGTCACCGCCTGATGAGGGGCAGCACAGGAAATAAAGACTGAAGAACAGGTGGCAGTTTATTAACTGGGGGAGTTGATCTTCAGCTCCTCCTGCCTGCCAACCACCTGATCTTAGCTGTGTCCTGGCTAAGACCTCGGGCTTGGACAAGTCGGTATTTACGGTTGTATAACGTGGCAAGGCGGCATGGAGGCAGATGTCGGGAACAGCAGAGCTAATGCTCCAAAGAGCTGGGCTTGGAGAAGGCAGCCACTGGAACTCGTGCAGACCACAGTTAAGGCACCTGTGCTGTCCTGCAGGTCACAGCTAACAAGCGCCCTGCATTTTCTTGCTCATGTTTGTGCCTCAGCCTGTGTCTCCTCACTGTGGAGAGAGACGTTGAGACCTGGACTGTGACTGTTGTCCTAGGGAAGTCTGTGTCTGAGCACCAGCCCAAAGGGCAGTTAGTGGTTCACACTTGGGCCTTGGAGTGACACGGTCTGCATCAGTAGCTGAATTCAGAAGCCAAATCAGTGATGCCTGAAGCCTACTCAGGGCATTTCCAAGCTGGTCTCCTGCAGAGTTGTCTGCTTCTGGCCTCAGCCTCTGTGGAGACATTGTTACCACCCAGAGTCAGTCCACAGAGACAGAGGGCAGTGAGTGAGTGAGTGAGTGTGTGTGTGTGTGTGTGTGTGTGTGCGCGCGCGCATGCATGTGTGTTGCTATGGTCAGATTTGTTGATGCTCCACCACTGAGCTACGTCCACATCCCCTGTCTCCTCAGTTTTTGGGACAGGCTTGCTAAGCTGCTGTGGCTGGCAAGAGCTCGCATGCAGTGCCCTGCCTCAGCCTCCCTCCACGCGGGGTTTACAGTGCTCCCCGCACCCTATGGTGAGGGCGTTCTTGAAGGCATCTTTCCCATCTCCCTGACGAGCTCTTGCTTGGCTGTGCTTTCCTGGCCAGCCAGGCTTTCCCGGCAGCTAGACTTTGCTCGATCTGGTGTGACTCTGCTGTAGCGTTGCCTTAGTTTCTGATGGGACAGCGAGAAAGCAGGTGCCTAGTGCATCACTGGGCTTCTTCACCGAGCCTCTGTAGACCACACACGACACGGTGTCCTCCATTCTGCACGTGGTGCGGAGGACACTGGCGCTGTGATGGCGTCTTTCTTTTCTTTCCCAGCAATTACCAGTGATAACGTCCAACACCATCGTGCGGTGCCGATCCTGCCGAACGTACATCAACCCTTTCGTGTCCTTCATTGATCAGCGAAGATGGAAGTGCAACCTGTGCTACAGAGTCAATGACGGTAAGCTCGGCTCGCCTGTCCGGCGGGGTTCGAGTATCGCTCTCCCCCGCTGCCATAAACTGCTTTCTCACCACCCTGAGTGCAGAGTGGGCTGGGCACCCTCACTTGGGCCGCGAGGTGCAGGTGCCAGCAGCGGGGTGGTGCTGAGGGCAGAGTAACAGTGGTCTTGTCCACAGCGAGTGTAGACCTGTGTGTGTGCAGGTGTGCGTATGTGTCCGTGTGGCCCCTGTATTCCCTTCTTAGGTCCACCTATCTCAATGGCTTTCAGAGTTGTGTTTCGGATTGCTTTTCCTGTCATGTAGTACAGTAAGCAGGATACAAGTCTAAAGGGAGGTTAGTGTGTCCTGGTTTCCTCACATGATTTCAGAAAATTAGTTATTTTTATCCTTTGGATCTGTATTTTAAGAAGGCCAAAAGGATTTTGTTTTTGTCATTAAATGTTTCCAGGCCAGAGGTAGTGGCGCAGTACGTGGGAGGCTGAAGCAGGAGGATCGCTGTGAGTTTCAGGCCAGCCTGGGCTACATAGTGAGTTCAAGGCCAGCCTGAACTATAAAGTGAGACCCTGTCTCAAAAAAAAAAAAAAAAAAAAAAGTTCCCAGAACTGTTCGTAAACATGAATATTGCTGATGAAGGTGTTCACTGCTGGGCTTGTTACTGAGTCTGCATTGGATTCCTGCTCTTGTCCAGTCCCTGAGGAATTTATGTACAACCCCCTTACCCGGTCTTACGGAGAGCCTCATAAGCGACCTGAAGTTCAGAATCCAACTGTGGAGTTCATCGCATCCTCCGATTACATGGTAACTATCGGTGTCAACTTAGACCTGGGGTTCGTTTTTGTGGGTTGTTTTCAGTTTTCTGTTACGTGAGTTCTTGTCCAAATTCTGAGGTTGTCGTAATGTTGTTGTAGAATAAATTAATGGTGAAAGTTTGTAGTTAACAAATATAATTGTAAAAAAAAAAAAAAAAAAAAAAAAAGTTCCCAGAACTGTTCGTAAACATGAATATTGCTGATGAAGGTGTTCACTGCTGGGCTTGTTACTGAGTCTGCATTGGATTCCTGCTCTTGTCCAGTCCCTGAGGAATTTATGTACAACCCCCTTACCCGGTCTTACGGAGAGCCTCATAAGCGACCTGAAGTTCAGAATCCAACTGTGGAGTTCATCGCATCCTCCGATTACATGGTAACTATCGGTGTCAACTTAGACCTGGGGTTCGTTTTTGTGGGTTGTTTTCAGTTTTCTGTTACGTGAGTTCTTGTCCAAATTCTGAGGTTGTCGTAATGTTGTTGTAGAATAAATTAATGGTGAAAGTTTGTAGTTAACAAATATAATGTTTGTTATTTGATCCCCTAGAAAAATGTATTATATCACGAAGAAAGGTTCTTACTGTGGCATTTGATGAGCACCAGCAGCTGTTGTTTGTTGCCACTTGGGCTTGACTGCCTGGCTGCAGTGAAAACATATTCTTTCATCATTTAATGCTTATGGCACTTCCAAAAGAAAAATGCATATTTTTGCCCAAAGCTGCAGTTTTCAAGGTCTTAAAGAACCCACTCACTCTTTCTGATTCACGTCATGCAGACACCAGATCCCTGGATACGAGCTAATCTTTCTCATGCTGCTCCACTCATGAAACTGCCCATTCCTTAAGTGCATGGGCTCCACATGTCATGCTTCTGTTTACAGACGTGGGATCTTATCTGTGCTGTGCCTGTTATCCGTGTATCTTCCCATTTTTAATGACTGCATTTCTTCTAAACTCTTGCTGCTCATCTTTTTGTCTGCAAATACCAAGTGCTGCTAGTGGAGAAGGGGAACAGGGAAGCTGACGTGCAGGGAATGTCCAGTGGTTGGCCCATTTCTATTTTTATAATCTCTGTGGTCTTTTGTGTGTAATTTAGCCTTTTGCAGCCTAACTATAATTTTCACGTTTAGTTCCATATTGACTAGTGAACTTTCCTCTTGACCACTTTTACTCTCAACTTCTTACCTTCTTTATGATTTATTTTGGTCTCAACTCTGCTTAGGATCTTTAAGAATCTTAATCTAACTGCTGTGACCGTGTAAGAAATAATCTTTAATTTTTATTTTATATTATTCATATGACGTTTGTTGGCATGCATTTATTGATTTATTTTTCAGTACTGGGTATTAAACCCAGGGCCTTCATAATGAGCTACGTCCCCAGCCCTTTTTTTATATTTTATTTTAAAACAAGGTCTCACTTGGTTGCTAAGGCAGGGTTTAAACATGTGGTTCTCCCATCTCAGCCTCCCAGAATATCCATATTATAGGCATGTACAGCCATGCCTGACCTGGTTGACATTTTTTTTCATACAAAAAAACAAAACTTCATGGGCTGAAGGTGGGGCTCAGTGGTAAGACACTTGCCTAGCATGGGTGAAACCCTGAGCTGGATCTCCAGCACTCTAAAAATTACTGTAAAATAAAATTTTAAAAATTAGGTGTTTTTAGGAATAAGGAAAGTACATATAAATCTATAGTCAATTTAATACTAAATAATAAAAAAGCCTTATTTTCTTTAGAAGATATCAGATTACCCAGCGCTCCTTACCAGGAAAACAATTTAACCAGGCCACTTAACCGTTACAACTGCTGTCATGCTTAATCCACAACAAGTTTCACAAGAAAAAAATCAAAGGGCTCTCATTTTCATTAGTGCGTGAAGCCCCAGGAACGGCAGTCCTGTCTCACCCTCGGTGTGGTGTGCCCAGTAAGAGCTATCTCGTGGTGGTGGTTAGGAGGTGACTTGCACCTGCCAACTAAGCACATTCTGTTTGCTCCTTTCAGCTCCGCCCTCCTCAGCCTGCGGTTTACCTGTTTGTTTTAGACGTGTCTCACAACGCTGTGGAAGCCGGGTACTTGACAGTTCTGTGCCAGTCGCTGCTAGAAAACTTAGACAAGTAAGAATAGTTTTCTTCATGCCATGTCTGCGTATAAATGTACCGAAACTTGAAGTGTCAGCAGTTTAGTGGGTTGCTTTTTGCTAAGTTCAGGAGTGTTTATCTAAACTGTAAGAAGCTTTCCTATTTACTGTAGAATAAGAATTCCCCTGCTTGCATGATTGGGATTTGAATGTCAGTGCCTGAGTCTTACTGTTACACAAGTTTTAGCGCTTCATCAAGAGTGTTGATCTCGCCTGACTGCCCATGACGCAGCAGGCCTGGATATCTTTGCCTGGAGGGCTCACCTGTTCAGGGGCGTGGGGAGACTGCCGCATGGCTGGGCCTGGGGGACAGCGTTAAGTGACACCCCCAGGTGCTGACACAAACGCCACGGGTTCCACTCCGCCTGGGTCCTGCAGCTGGGAGCAGAGCGGGGTTTTTGAGGTGCCGCTGCCCGTGGGCACAGTGCTACGTGGCGTTGCCCTGATTAGAGGTAATGGCAGTGTATTGTACTCTTTGAAAATGTCAAGTCAGTTCGAACTTTCCTCCTAACAGAAACGGTGACTTCTGAAGGGTTACCTGTTGTAAATAGCTGAGTTTAGTTGTTCCATGGTGTGCATCAATCTCTGAAAATCCTGTTGTATACAGTAGATTACACAGTTTCACCTGTCAGTTCAAATAAGGTAAAAGCAAAAGATGTTTAAAACTCTCAGTGGAAGGAATGTAGCTGTAATCCCTCCGAGCAAGGTGATCCCTCCTGAGGCAGGGGCTGTCGCAGTCGGGAATCGGGAAGTGGGAGCCCTTGGCACTGCTCTCCAGAGGCTGGAGATTCTGCTCCCCCTCGGCACCGAGCAGCAGGCAGGGAGCACTGGGGTGCTTTGTCCTCGGCTCCTAAGCCCTGCCCTGTCTGCTGGAGCTCATCAGGGAGTCTGCGCTCAGCTAGGAGTAAAGCGACCCCGGTCTCTGGAAACCACGCCATGTTCCATGTCGGTTTGGTCTCCGGTGTCCATGAGAGAAGGACTCGAGACTGCGGTGAGAGTGGTCACTTCTTGGTGGCTCCTGATGTGGCAGGGTGAGGCTGTAGGACAGTTGCTCTTTTTCACAAGCACCCTCGGTCTCCCCCATCTTGCATTTGAACGGAATCCTGCCCTGTCTGCTCCCCTGGTCACCAGGGCCTGCATCCCACTGATCTTGGCCTGGAAGTGTGACTCCTGACACTGAGGCAGTGGGGATTCCGAGTGGTGCGCGGTGCTCAGTGGTTACATTTGTACCCCTGGTTTAAGGGGGAGCAGCACGGAAGAGCACTCCACAGAGCAGTGTGTGTTTGAGCACCGAGTCCACTCCAGGAGGTGCTGTGGCTCCCGAGCTGTGTGAGCCGCAGAGCCAGCTCCCTGCCCTCCCCTTTCCCCGCTCCCCTTCCACAGGCGGGTGGGTCTGAGTGCAGAGACCACTCTGGCAGTGCGGAGAGACGCTTGCAAATGAGAGTGTGAGACCCAGAAGACAACTTGGGGTGGAAAGTCTTACATTCGATGGTGACAGAACATAAACGAGTGAGGAGCAGGGTTTTGTGGTGGGCTCCGGAGCCGACTTCCAGGAAGAGGAGTGTGTACCAGAGCAGGGTGGCTCAGCCCGGGGTGTTTTCATCCTGAACCGGTCACAGCTCCTCCCTGGCCAGAAGCCACACACTGCTGTGGAACACAGAGGTCCGAGACCAGATGGAAGATGAGTCTGGACGCCCTCCCGCCTGCTGGGATCCCGCGACTTTCTGCAGATGGCCTCTTGCAGGGATACTTGCTGAAAACAGCTGCACCACGAAACCACCTGGGCACCTGGAGTTTCGCTGCATGAGGTGGCACCCTCGTTAGAACGGGCGGGCTGGGCGAGTTGCTCAGCAGGATCCTGGGTTCAATCCCCAGGACCAAATAAGGGTTGGGAGATGGGCAGTGAGGTGGTTACCTGCTTTGGTAAACTGAGACACTGGCTTGAAAACAGTTCTGACAAACTTTTTACAAGATTGATAGATAAATGTTTTGGTTTTCATAATAGTTGTTTTAAATTTTGCACATTAAAATTCATTGGCATTATATCTGTCTTGGGCCAGGGATTTAGCTCAGTGGTTCCGCCACCGGCCTTTCAAACACGAGGACCTGAGTTCGATCCCTGGTATCAAAAAACCTTTTCTCAAAAATGTTCATTTGTCAGTCTATCTTTCAAATGCTTAAGTAAGGTGTATTATCGTAATGTTGAAACTGAAAATAAGTTTTCACTTGAAGGAGTACATTTCAAAAGAAAGAAAGAAATCTTTTAACTTTTTAAGAAATTTCACTTCTGGTTTTGGTTTATTCTTATGTGAATACTGATATTGCTCAGTTTTCTGAAGTAAGAAGCCTAAGTGTGTAAGTGGTTTCATCTGAAAAAGAAATACTCCGTCTCTACTCTTCTATGTTTTATGTTGGTTTAGAGTTAATTTTCCTTCTCCTTGGAAAGTAAAGTTGTCATTAGACTTGGCTTTCTGGTTCATTATTTTCTGATATCAAATATTACTGAGCACTCGGAATTTAAAATTCTTGTTTTTGTCTTCAGGCTTCCTGGAGATTCACGAACAAGAATAGGGTTCATGACCTTTGACAGCACCATCCATTTCTACAATTTACAAGAGGGCTTATCGCAGCCTCAGATGCTGATCGTGTCTGACGTAGACGGTAAGCACCTGTGCGATGAGAGGACCAGGACCCCTTGCTCCTGACACCGGGACAGGCGCTGCAGCGTCCTGTCAGAATGGTGTGACACACTGCAGTATGCCCTTAACATGATTTCTTGGAAACATTTGATTCTCAGTGTCTTACATTTGTGTAATGTACAGAGTCTGTATATTTACTAAGGCAGTGTTACAGTACACGTTACATGTGTAACTTGATGATAAAATGTTCTAATTTAGTATATCTTTTTGCTCTATTTGTTGACTAAAATATGTTTTCCCTATAGATGTTTTTCTGCCTACACCAGATGGTTTACTTGTGAATCTATATGAGAGCAAAGAGGTGAGACTGATTTATTTTTTCGAGGTGTAAAATATTCCTGTTGTCTCAGCTCAGCTAGCGTTCGTCCCCTGCCCTGTCAGTGTTAGCAGCAGTGTAAGAAGTGCGTCTGCTTCTCCTGAGTGCAGTCCCCACGTGCATGACACAGGCTGGGTCTGGGGTGTTTGGGACAGAATATTGCCTTGCCATCTCAGTAACTGGATTTTTGTCTTTGTTTTCCCAGCTTATAAAGGTCTTGTTGAATGCGTTACCAAATATGTTCACCAGCACAAGAGAAACACACAGTGCCCTTGGCCCGGCGCTTCAGGCTGCCTTTAAATTAATGTCTCCAACAGGTGGCCGTGTGTCTGTATTCCAGACACAATTGCCTTCCTTGGGCGCAGGGCTGCTGCAGTCCCGAGAAGACCCCAACCAGAGGTCCAGCACGAAGGTACTGTGCCCTGGCCTCTGTCCACTGGTGCTTCCTGCCACTGCTGGTGTATAACAGTTTGTTAATGCTGCTGTGTGACTTGATGAATAAAGCATTAGAAACTTTAACTGAAATTACCTCTTTAATTCCTGTGAGTGTTCTTTTTATTACTTTGCAAGCCATAAAAATTTAAAAATTGGCCAGGTGTGGTGGCACATACCTGTAATCCCAGCGCTTGGGAGGCTGAGGCAGGAGGATTGCCATGAGTTTGAGGCCGGCCTGAACTACACAGCGAGTCACTCTGAAAAAATGTTTTAAAATTAGAAGTCATTTATCATATTTTATAAATGAAGAAACATTAAAGTGTCTTGCAAAAGGTTGTGTAACTTTTAAATGGCAAAAATGTAGCTTAATTTTCTAATTCTGGTTTTCTCTTTATAAGTGGAAAACTTACTAAATCTGAGTTAGTGTAACATGATCGCACTAATAAACTGTTTAAGTATAAATTTATACTACTCCTCATTGTGCAAAATGGAAAGTAGGGAGAGAAAGATGGTTCATCCGTACTTCCACGCTCAGGTTATTAGCATTTACAGACATACATATTAGCATGATTAGGCATCACACACAGGTTGTTTTTTAAAGTACCACGTGTCCTTGATAGCATTTTCTGAGAGCCCTGAAACTGTAAGCAGCACATCGATCTCAGGAAAGGTGGAATTACTTCATTCCCTGGACCTGAGAGCACAGCCGGCTCTGACTCTCCTCTCTCGGTGCAGGTGGTGCAGCATCTCGGCCCTGCAACCGACTTCTACAAGAAGCTGGCTCTGGACTGCTCGGGCCAGCAGACGGCAGTGGACCTGTTCCTCCTGAGCTCCCAGTACTCCGACCTCGCTTCTCTAGGTGAGCTTCCCTGTGATGTGAGCATTTTCAGCGCGTGAGTAATCTGAACTCTCAGTAAGCACGCTCAGGACCTTGAGGGAAAGGTCTGTGAAGATTGCCCGTGAAGTATAAAATGCCGTTAGTATTTTGTTTCTGTAACTATTCCCTGAGCATTCTGCTCAGCAGTAAACATTTTCATATCTTATAAAGAAGTTTGTTTTCCGATTTACCTGTTGCTTGTATTTTGACAATGTCAGCTTTGCTCTGACAACTTAGATTTCTCCACAGTGGGTATGGGGTCTGTGCCGCTGGAGGGTGCAGTATCGGCCTGTGTAGCTGACAACTGTCTTGCTTCTCTCCAAAGCCTGCATGTCCAAGTACTCTTCGGGGTGCATCTACTACTACCCATCTTTCCACTGTGCCCACAACCCTGCCCAAGCGGAGAAGCTGCAGAAGGACCTAAAGCGGTATCTCACCAGGAAGATCGGATTTGAAGCCGTGATGCGGATACGGTGTACGAAAGGTGGGCGGGTGGCTGTGCACTGTGCAATTACTGAGTGATCATTTTCCAAGGAAGAAGTCTTACCTCAGTGGCCAAGAGTGATGTCTGCCTCAGCAAGAAGAACCTGAAGTTTCGGAAAGCCCGCCTTGGAAATGACTTGAGGGGAACGAGGGCAGTAGGGGCGCTCTTCAGGGAAAACTAATTCAGAACGTTCGCCTTGGTAGGAATTATGCTTCCTAGGGTTCATGTGAGTGCTTCCTGCAGGGATTCCCACCTCTTATTGTAAATCTCAGTTGTGCGGTGATCCTTGTTTGATTTGTTCCTTAGGCCTCTGACTTCAGGTCCCGTGAGAATGTCGGTGGTTAGGTAGAGATGGAAATTGAGAGGGTGCTCTTCATTACGTGTCCTGTGTGGGCTTTTAATTGGTTCTTTAGAACCTGTACCCATGCACTCCAGCTCTGCCTCCGCCCTTCAGTCCCCTTGGGAAGGGGTTGCCGGAGTTCAGCCCCAGGACCTTCACACTGAGCTGTGTTTTATTTTGAGACAGGATCTTGTTGAGTGGCCCAGGCTGCGCTCAAACCTGCTGTCCCCCTGCTTCAGCCTGTCAGAGTGCTGGGATTCGCCTGATGCCCATTTATCTTTTTGATTCAGAAGTAGAGGCATCTTTGACTTAAACAGTGACTGTACCTTGAGGGAAGAGAGCTCTTGTTGAGGTTTATATCAGGTCTCCCTGCTTCTCAGGTCTCTCCATGCACACCTTTCACGGGAACTTCTTCGTACGCTCCACTGACTTGCTGTCTCTCGCCAACATCAACCCCGATGCGGGCTTCGCAGTGCAGCTGTCCATTGAGGAGAGCCTGACGGACACCTCCCTGGTGTGCTTTCAGACGGCACTGCTCTACACGTCCAGCAGAGGTCAGCATGCGGCTCCCCCTCACACACTTGGGCTTGGACCTCCCGGGGTTAGCAGACCTGGTTCCTGGGGTTTGAACTCACTTTCTTATCTTCAGATAATATGTGCGTGTGCATGAGAGAGAGAGAGAGAGAGAGAGAGAGACAGACAGACAGACAGACAGGCGGACGGACAGAGAGAATGGGAGGAAGGGGGGAGGGGGGAGGGAAACATTCCTAAAATCATGTGGTTCTGGTAAACAGTTCTTCCGAAATCTATCTGTGCCTTCCTTGGCATTGTTTCTTGCCCTGTAAAATAGAATTCTTGTTAAATTGCTGTGTAGTAATTAGGCTTTCTCTTGTTATACAGCTGAGGTTTCAGATATTTTTGTTGTTGGATATTTTACAGTAAGTGACATTGAAATAAAAACTGGAGCCTAACATTTGGCTATATGTGAAATTGTGTGCCAAGTGTAATTACACACGCCTGTTATCCCAGCATTGGGAAACTGAGGCAGGAAGATCACTGCAAGTTTGAGGCTAGCCTGGACTACATAGTTCCAGCCTAGCTGGAACTACATAGCAAGACCCTGTCTCCCCAAAGTTGTGTTCATAGTCTGTGGATTTGGAAAATGTTTTATTTTGTTTAAAACACGTTAATTAAAAGATTTTTATTTTTTTACATTGCATTTTTCTCTTTTTCTTTTTTGGTACCAGGGATTGAAGTGGGGTCTTTGCACTTGCAAGGCAGGCCACCAAACCACTGAGCTAAATCCCCGGCCCTACATTGCATTTTAAATTTTATTTTATATTGGCTACATTGTTTTTGTTTGTTTTGGTACCGGGGACCGAACGCGGGTCCTTGCGCTTGCGAGGCAGGCCACCGAACCGCTGAGCTAAGTCCCCGGCCCTTGGCTACGTTGTTTGTACCTTAATGTAGACGAACAGTACCGTGAGGGAGCTCCTGACTGGCTGGCTTTCTTCCCTGCATGGCGTGTACTCAGGTGAGCGGCGCATCCGAGTGCACACACTCTGCCTGCCGGTGGTGAGCTCGCTCGAGGGTGTGCACGCAGGGGCGGACGTGCAGGCTGTCATCTGTCTTCTCGCAAACATGGGTGAGTACACAGTTGAGGAGCAGGAAAACATTTTCCTGTCCTAAAAACAGGCTGGAGCCATAAAATGCTACGAGAGTTCTTCCGTTTAAAAATGTGTTTTTCATTTTGTGGTGTTGTTGTTGTTTTTAGTACTGGGATCAAACTCAGATCCTTGTGCTTGAGAGGCCCTCACCAGAACCACTGAGCTAAATCCCTGGCCCTGTTGGTTTTTGTTTGTTTTTCAATGAGTTCTCACTGTGTGTTTCAGGCTGGCCTTGAGCTCACTATATAGCCCAGGCAGGCTGGAAATTAGAGCGATCCTCCTGCCTCAGCCTTCTGAGTGCTGGGATTACAAGCACGGCCTCCCACGCCCAGCTGTCCCATTTTCATTTGCTGCAGAGCAAATTAGACTCTTCCATTTCTTAGTACTTCTCAGCGTAACAGTCAGTGGAGGGTGCATGTTCACTAAAGCTGGTGAAACCTAACATCCTCCGGCCAACAGAGTTAGAGCCAGCTGTACTGTCTGTTCAGTAGAACACAGCTCCACGGTGCAGCCAAGGAGCTAGTACTGCTGCTCAGGCAGGGATTGGCGCAGAGCCCTTGCACCAGTGAACACAGCTGTACCCAAGGCTTCCATTCCTATAGTGTCCTGGGACAGGGGCGGTTACTCGGTGGTGGGGGCATCAGTGGTTGCCACAATCGGGTTCCCTCCAGGGGGCGCTTCAGGGGGTACTCACACAGGTGTGTATTTGACAGGCACACAGCCCACCATAGCACTACACTTGAAAGAAGTAAATTTTACTGTGGGTAAATTGTTTAAAATCTTTTTATGATTAACATAACGTTTTTAATGATAAATTTAGACATGAAATAAACTTTGCTATTTTCCATATAGTTCTGGAGGAAAATAGTTATTATTACTCAAAATTATAGTAGCATTTTCTACAGAAACCCCCACACCATCCCGCTTCTCGTGGTGCTGGGGACAGAACCCAGGGTTTTGTGTGTGAGGTGAGGCTTCAGCGCTGAGCTGTACCCCTAGCCCAGGATCCTAATTTTTAAGGTATCGTTTATATTTAGAGTTTAAGTTATTCATACTATAACTGGTTGCTTTTACTTTTAATGCTTGGATATATTTATCGATTGTTTCCATTTTAATAAAGTATGTTCTTGGAGAAAAATAAGTTTCACATGAAGTATTTGTTTCCTCATTGTCTGTATGAAAACCCGTGTTCACTTTGCCTTCTTTTTATTTGTTGACCTGGAATGCTTTTCAAAGAAAATTGTAAAGAATGACAAAAGGGCTGGGGATTTAGCTCAGCGGTTCCGCCACCTGCTTTGCAAGTGCAAGGACCCGAGTTCAATCTCCAGTACCAAAAAAAAAAAAAAAAAAAGAATGAAAAGAGATGACCTAGATCATAGAGCTTATACTGAGGGGATGGGAAAATGTGATGCTGTGTACGTGTGACTGCCATCTGACTGATGGAAGTAACCTGTGCTTCCTCAGAAATAAATGGATAGTATATAGTTGTTCTGTAATAGCAACAGTGGCTGTTTTTCAATTTAAAAAATTTAAAAAGAATCCAAAAAGAGTGTAGACTTGTTCTCGTTATTGGGTTTGCTTAGATTTAGTTTCTCTTAAAACTTTGTAATGAACAGACACATTTCACATGAGAGCAGGCGGGCGAGGCATCACACGCCTGTAATCCAGCCCTTGGGAGGCTGAGGCAGGAGGACTTTCACAGTTTGAGGCCGGCCAGGTCTACATAGAGAGCTCAGGGCCAGCCTGGAATGAAGGTGCACCCTTGCTGTGGCAGTGCCCATTGGCATCCTCTAATGGTGTGGTTGCTTTGTAGCTGTGGATCGATCGATTTCATCGAGTCTGTCGGACGCAAGAGACGCCTTAGTGAACGCAGTCGTGGACTCACTGTCTGCATACGGTGCCACCATCTCAAACCCACGGCGCTCCGGCTTGATGGCCCCCGCCTCCCTCAAGCTGTTTCCTCTCTATGTCCTGGCTCTTCTCAAGCAGGTAGCTGTCCGTGTGTCATCTTCAGTGCTGCCTTTAAAATTCTCAGAGGTGAAAACTGAGGTCTGGGCTGTTGCTTCGTAATACCTAGAAGATCTTGTATTTAGGCACTGGAAGGGTTTTGAAGAATAAGAGAAAAACCATGGAAAATGAAGGTATGCACATGTGTTTGTATTTGTAAAAAGATGCCTTCTTTAATCATGCGAGCAGCTTGAATAATGGTGCAACTGTAGCCCGCTCTTACTCCGCTTCTGAAAGTGCCTGGGGAAGAGGCCGTCTTCCGCTGCCTCAGCCATCGCAGTGGGTGCGGTGTCTGTTCGCCCATACATTCCTTGAAACTTTTCCCTGTTACCTGGTGCTGATGGTGTGACTCGGACTAGGGAAGTAACCTGCTCACATCCGTTAAACATCAGGCCTTACTTGAAAACACACTTCTCCATAGTTGCCAGCACGTCTGTCTCTGTGCACTTCGTGTGTTTACTGGAAGGCCTGTCTTCTTCCTTGCAGAAGGCGTTTAGAACAGGCACAAGCACGCGCCTGGACGACCGGGTACACGCCATGTGTCAGATCAAGTCCCAGCCGCTCGTCCATCTGATGAAGATGATCCACCCCAACTTGCACAGGATAGACAGGCTGGCGGACGAGGTGCGCGCTAGTGCGTCGAAGTCGCTCCATTGGGGTGACTCTGCACTGAGGGGCGGTGCGTTTTCCCCACAGGGGGAGTCGTCACAGGAGGGCTCAGGCGTGCCTTGCCTCCGGCTTTGTCGTATCATTTGTTGCAAAGCTGAGCTGTAGAGCGGACGTTTCCATTTGTGTTCTGAGGCAGTCACATCACAGCACCGATTACATAGTAAACTGAATTGGTACCCTGCAGCAGTTCTGGTGTGCAGACGTGTAGTACTTTCTGGTCTCTGTGATGAGTATTCATACCAGACGTAATACTGTGTTTCTGAGAAATGCAAGGAAGCAGCTTGTGGTGCAGCACTGTTTCCTGAACTGAAAGGGGGTCAGCAGGACAGAGCGTTCCTGTTTCGCCTTAATTGGGAGACACGTGAGCCGCTTGATTCTGCAGCTAGCGTCACAGTGTGTGGTTGGCAACCTCTGCACCCTGGCGAGCTCCCGAGTGTCCGGCTGGCCGCAGCGCCGCCCCTTCACACTGTCCCTCCCTTGCAGAGTGCCATCCACGTGAACGACAGGGTGGTGCCTCAGCCGCCCCTCCAGAAGCTGTCTGCAGAGAAGCTGACGCGAGAGGGCGCCTTCCTCATGGACTGCGGCTCAGTAAGCGCCCGCAGGGAACGGGACGGGATTGGGAAGGGAACCCGCTGCAGCCAGCGAGGTGACGCCTTCCTTCAGGTTTCTGGAGCCCACATCTTATCAGTGATTACTGACTTTTTATCGTTTGTCGTGCTTGTACTTAACCAAGGAGAGGAGGAGGAGGGTTCTTATCTCCAGGGACTCCACCGCAAGAATCCAGGGACTTCGAGAGTTCACCTGGCTCAGCTTTTTAAAAACCACTGCCGGCGATCTGAGTGAGGAGGACTTTAGGGGAGGTGGCGCACAGCGATGGAAGGGAGTGGAGTGGTCAGGGTAGCTTCACAGTGGTACCTGCTAGCGGAAACAAGGTTCGGGTAGCCGTGGAGGGGTCAAACCCCTGAGGTGAAGCAGAGCGTCGCTATCAAAGTAGTGTAAGACACCTATAGCCCCCGCACTCTGGGAGGCTGAAGCAGGAGGGTCACAAGATTGAGCCCAGCCTGGGCAACTGAGTGACTTCGGAAGGCTGTGTCTCAAATTTTAAAGAATTAAGAAAAGGGCTGAGGAAGTAGCTTAGTACAAAGGCCCCGAGCTCAATCTATTGTACCACGCCCAAAAAAGAAAGAATGGGAAATATAGTGGGCCCGTTATTCTGATTAAAGCGTTCCATTCCTGCTGGAGAAAAGCACAAGGAAGAGAGCCAAATATCTTTTATGAGAACCTTTAAAATTGAAGGAGTGAAGATAGGAGCTACTCTGGGCAGTGAAGGCAAACCCTGCAGAGCTCGGTGATGCCAGACAGCCGGTGTGGCCCACATGCCTAGGTTTGCCTCCGCTGCTCTGGGTTCTGGAGTTTGGATCAGGGCGCCCGTGCCCAGCTTTCTGTCTGTCTTCATTTTGCTCGGGTCCATTTGTGGTAATGGTCTTGACTGTGCATGCATGATCATTTTGAAGGGATCCACTGTCATGAGCTGTTAAGGAGTTTTAATGTTTCATTGCCTTTTAAGGTTTTCTACCTTTGGATTGGAAAAGGCTGTGAGAGTAGCTTCATAGAGGATGTGCTCGGCCACCCTGATTTCGCGTCCATACCACAGAAGATGGTCAGTGAGTTTTTTACAACTTTTTGTTTTGCTTGTTTGTTCTTAGTGTTTTTATTGACATAGAATCTGTGTAAGATTCACTCTCTTAGCCATTTTAAAGCGTATACTACAGGGCCAGACATTTCACTCTGGTTCTGCTGCCTGCCTCACAAGTGCAAGGTCCCGAGTTCGATCCCCGGTACCAAAATAAATAAATAAATATAGTGTACAGTGCAGTGATTTCTGCGGAGAGTGCGCACCGTCGGCACGGCCCTTTCTGAACATTTCCACCTCTCCAGTGAAGAACTCGTTTCTTGGGCGGCCGCCGGCCTGCTTCCTGTCTGGTTGTCCTGCTCCGTGTGTCACTGATGGAGTCACGCCGTAGCTAGACAGAGCCTTGTATCTCTGCTCTCTCCTGCTTCCTCTGCATTTACGAACCCTCTGTGTGGTTCGCTGTCCGCCGCTGGGTGCTGCGGCTGCTCCTGTCTGAGGCTGTTGTGACTAGGGCTGCTCTGACTGTGTGTGCAAGTTCCCGGCGGACCTAGGTTTTCAGCCACGTGGGAACTGTCATGTTCCCTTCCTGAGAAACGCCGCGCTGCTCGCTCAGCATCTGTAATTTCACTGGTACAGGCATCATTTTCTCACCAGGCCTTTACTGAATGTGGGTCACTGTTGCCATGAAAATGCAATGCCGGGTTCTGGGTTCATTACCCAAAACCAGACGCCTGACTCCCATGTTGAAAATATGTCCTTTTTCCTGAAATTACTACAAGTCCGATATAGTCCTTGTCCTAACCTAGACAAGGTCAGGGTTTTGTTTCTTCCAGTTTGACAAATTATCCCAGAGTTTGTTTCTGAGATTCAGCAAATAAGGGTAATGAGGACAGACTTGCAAAGAGGAGAAATGTCGGCAGAAGGGGAAGCAAGGAACTGAGCCCTGCGAAGGGAGCAACAGGCCTGCCGCGTGCGCAGCACCGTGGGCCCCGGGAGAGGCAGAAACGGAAGGGGCTCCCCGGGATGGCGTGCGGCCAAGGTTTCCTCTCACACTGTGGGAAGTGGAACAGTGATCTTGGAGCCAAGTGCCGTGGTACAGCCACTCGGGAGGTTGGGGAGGAGGATCACAAGTTCAATGCTGGCCTGGACAACATGGTGAGACCCTGTTTTAGAAAGTAGAAAGAGCGGGGAACGTAGTCCATGGTAGAGTGCTTGCCGAGCGTGTGGGAGGCCTGTGTGCAGTCAGCAGTACCAAGAACAGACGCAGGGATGATCTCAGGACCACTGCTTAGCCATTAGGAGACAAACCAAAGGGGGACGTTTATCTAACTCCGTGTATCAGAGTAGTTTTTAAATGGATCAGACATTGAAACATGAAAAAAGGAAGCCGTGCAGCCCACTGCAAGAAGCTCCTGTGAATATGTATGATTTTTTATACTCTTAAAATGAGAATGGACTTTATTAACTGGAATCTTAAAAATTAACAAATAAATATAGAACATTTTTATTTGGTGATTAATAAAGCCAAACCACAGATAACAAACTTCTGAGTTTATCATCTGTTAGCATAGAATTTCTTTTACTTACCAGTTGGCAGAGATTTTTAACCTTTCTAGAGAGAGCCATGTGATGTTAAATGTTAACATCACATACTCTGTACTGCCATAGGTTATTTTACTCTTAAAGTAGGTGTAGTTATATGTGTGTTTGTGCTCTCATGGTGTTGGGTAAGTACTGTCTGTGCCCGGCTGAAAATTCACATCAAAAAGTGTGTGATTTAAAAAAAAATTTTAATAGTAACATGCTTTACAAATATAATTAACCCAAACACTTTTCTTTAGATTGTATAGGCTGTATTCTTTAAATTACATAGTGTACTTTCACATTGGCTTTGAAAAAGAAAAATCTTGCCATATATTCATACAAAATCAGTCCTCCAAATATTAGTTATTGGTAATTCATTTTAACTAGTATTTATTACTAATACATACTACTCTTAATGATTTGTTAGTATTACCAATTAATGAATAATATTATATGTAAAGAGTAGCCTCTTAGTCTTTAAAATAGTCTCACACATAGTTTTTCAATATATTTGCACATTCATACTGCTCTTTAAGATTCCTTGCCTTTAAATTTTACGAAGTAGACGTGATGTTCTGGAATGGTGTAGGCTGGAGAAGCAGTGTGTCGTCGTTAAGTGAATTTGACTGTAGCGATGGCCCCTGCATTTGGAATATTCCCTGTGGAAGGAGCAGGGGCACACGGTGGCACTGGTGACACACTGATCCCTGTGTGCGCTGTGGTTTTAACTAGGGAAAGATTAGTTTTCCAGTAAGACGTCAGTGACACATCAGGAGTAAACCCTTTTCCTAACTGACCCAGAAGAGTGGCAGCAGACCTGCCAGTGCTGTGTGGTTGCTGCTGTCGGGCTCAGCGTGCAGAGTCCGTGGCAGGGGGTCACGATTTAGCACTAGTTGCGCTGATGTCTGTGAGAGGAAGTGGTTTCCTGAGTCTGTTTCTTTTCTCAGACTCATCTTCCAGAGCTGGACACGCTTGCATCGGAGAGAACCAGGTCCTTCCTGACGTGGCTTCGGGACAGTAGGCCACTGAGCCCGGTGCTGCACGTGGTAAAGTAAGTGCCTCCGCGGTTGCATGGCCGGTGCGCCTCCGAGCACCACCTCTGGGGTTCCAGAGTGTGCTCAGTGGTGGACCTGTGATCCGCAGCCCCAGAGCCCGGGGCTTAGTATGGTTAGCTCTGCAGTTTTCGCAGTCAGCTGTACTTAGATCAGTGCACCTCGCTCTTTCAGAGATGAGAGTCCTGCCAAAATGGAATTCTTCCAGCATTTGGTAGAAGACCGGACAGAAGCTGCGTTCTCATACTATGAGTTTCTGCTTCACGTCCAGCAGCAGATCTGTAAGTGAAGCAGGAAGACAGATGCATAACCTAGGTAACGCACAGTCTACTGCAGAAGCACACGGTACCTTGCCACAGACAGGGTGCACACCACGGTGCACACACTCGCTTGCTCTCTCTGGGGCTGCGGAGATGGAAAGGGAGGAGCTGGCACCGCCCCGAGAGCCACAGTGCCGTCCCCAGGCGTGCAGAGCAGCGCTGGCAGTTCCCGCAGCCACAGCCCTGCGGAGCGGCGTGTCATAGATGTGTCATACTGTAACGTAGCTACATTTGTTTTCTTATGAGTTGGGATGTTTCTGGACTTGACCTTTGACCAGAGGCAGCAGTGCAGGGTTCCTTGTTTATTTGAGTAACTTTTTGACAAGGAATGACTCTGTACTCATTGAATGAATTGAACATGTTCCCCGTAAAGATGGGAGTTTCTTACATGAGCTATAGAAAAAAGTATATATATGATGTACATACGTGTTACATTTGTAAAGAAAATGTAAAAATGTAACTACAGAACATGAATTGCTCGGGCTGTGCCGCGTTGTTGGATGGCGGCTGTTTGTCACAGTGGAGGGTGAGACTGACTAAGGCATATTATGAATCGAGACCACAGAAGAAACTCAGAACTCTTTGTAATGCTGTTAAATCTTTTATGTGGATTTATTTATGATCAGCCTACTAATTAAAAATATTTTGCTTGAACAGTTGGTTTGGTTTTTTGTTTTTTGTTGTTTTTTTGTTTTTTTTTTTTGGTTTGTTTTTGGTAGGGGTTGGTGGTATTTTTTTACTTACAGGATATATTGAATTCACTCCTTGGAAGAACATACTGATAATGTATTCCACTTAGGGATACATGTGAGTCCGCTTCCATTAGTCTGTAAACATTACCAAGCACTGCATTTGTATTCTAAAAGCAAATAATGCTATTTTCAAAATACATTTAATTACTAAAAATGATCTCAAATTGTCTCTTTTAAATTAAGCATTTTCCTGCATGCTGTTTGTGTGTGTTTTCCTGGGGTAGAGCTCAGGGCCTTCACATGGCAGTAGTAAGCACAGTAACCTGCTCTCAGCCTTTTCTTTCTCAGACTCAGTTGCCCTAAATTCCTCAAGCTGATCTCAAACCTGTGATCCTCTTGCCTCTGCGCTCTGAAGAGCTGGCTTACAGAGGAGTGCATCACACTTGGGTTCCTGCATACCTCGAACAAGAAAATGTTGTTTAATTGACCTTAAGATTACCATCTTGAACTGTGAGAATAATTTTATCCTGATCATGTCTCCCAGAGGCTGGATAAGGTGACACATACCTGTAATGCCAGCACTCTTGAGAGGCTGAGGCAGAAGGCTCGCAAGATTGAGCCTAATCTGGGCAATTTATAGACTTAGTAAAACCCTTTCTCAAAATTAAAAAGAAACAGCCAGGGATGTAGCTCACTGGCACCACACCTCTCTGGCAAGTGCAAGGTCAGTCCCTGCCCCCCTCCCCCAAAGGCTAGGGATGTAGTTTAGAGCAGAGCAATTCCCAGTACCACCAAAAAAGAAATCTCAGGCTGAGCACTGAGCACAGTGGCTCATGCTGGTAATCCTAGCTACTTGGAGGCTGAAATAGGATGATTGCAAGTTCTGAGTCAGCCTGGGCAACTTAGTAAGATGCTGTTTGAAAATAAAAGACCTTGGAAAGGCTGGAGACTTCTCAGAGGGTAGAGCCCTGAAGGTCACCAGTGCTGTGAGGAGGAGGAGAGAATTTGGGGGCTGGGTTTGTGGCTCCAAGGTGGAGCCTTCACTGGGTTGCACCACACTGTGGGTTCGTTCCTAGCACCACAAAAAAAGGAGAGGAAAGGAATCTCATTCAGTAGAAGCCATTAGGCTGTGGCATGGCATTTCCTTTTGTTGCATCTATGAATTTTGGAAGGAAAGGGCTCTTGGTGTGTGGGGCCGGGGGCTTGCACTGAGTCTGTGCTTTGCTGATCTGTTGATCTGTTTTCTTCAGAGAAAAGTGAAAGTGCTGCCTCCCTCCCTGGTGGGAATGAGAGATCCATTGACTCAGCCTAACAGAATTTAACTAGTAGTGGCAGAGCTGAAGATGAAGCTGAGCGCCTCCCCTCCCTACCCCCGGCCCCAGGGCGAGCCACTCCAGCAAGAGCACTTGGGGGACTTGGAGGAGCTGCCTCTAGGGCTAGGAGACACCCACTTCACCACGCTCCTCTGCCCTTTGGTGTTACTGTCAGTCATCCAGGAAATGTGAGGCCCTGGATTGTTGCCAGAGACTGCCGGGGCACAAAGGGCACAACGCGAAGGCCCCGCACCCACCAGGCTCGCACTCTAGAGGAGGGGTGCTGAGCCTCTGGGAACTTCAGGGGACAGCCTGTTGGCACGCGTGTGCCGTAGGTTCACCAGCCCTGCGGAGAGGGCGTTCTGTGGATGGCGGGGTAGTGACCACGACGAAAACTGAAACCAGCAAGGGGCCGAGCAAGTGCTCCCTGGAATGAGAGTGCCGAGCTGCTCTGAGGCCCCAGAGGAAGAGCCTCCTGCGCGGGGCGCCTGGGCTGGCCAGGGTGGTGGTCACTGCAGCTCCTCTGCGTTCCTGGCCCGCACAGCGCAGAGGGGTGGGAAGGCGGTAGAGGTGAGGGCTGGCCCCCGTGGGAAGCCACCTGGTACCCTGTGTCTCCCTTCAGCAACCATGAGCTCTGGAAAGCTGGGTAGAATCAGGACTGGGTATGGAGGAAATGACTCGCATTTAAGCTAAAGGAACACAGAACAGGTGGCAGACCGGTGCCAGGCGGTGACTGGCTTAGTAATGTGCTGGCCTCGTGAGCTCCCAGAGCTGCTAGGGCCCAGGCTCCTGGAAGAGGGAGCTGGGAAGACGGGTAACGGTCAGCACGGGGTGCCCGGGCCTGAGGAGGCATAGTGGAACCAATGGGACCTCGTGTGGGTGGAGGTGGGCAGCTGGCCTGTGAGGGACCGCTGTGGGGGCGGGGTCAGAACTGCAGCCCAGGGTCTTCAGTGGATCCTTTGATTATTAAAATTGCCTCCAGGGTACTGACTGATGACAGCAGGAGTGCTAGGGACAGGGCGTAAGCGGGGAGGACTTGGGGTAGGCAAGGAGAAAGCCATCTGGGTCCTTGCGGGGAGCAGTAGGGGCTACTTCTCGGGCTTGGGGTGTCGACAGAAAACTGGTTTCAGTGACTGCAGAGACTGGCAGGCTGCGGGGAACAGGTGCAGGAGATGGGCATACCTGGCCAGCTGCTGTACGGACTGAGGGAAAGTGCCTGCCAGGAGTCCCCTCTGCATCTGGTGAGACTCGTCAAGTGCGGTTTGTGGTGCTGGTGCTGGGGAGAAGAGGAGCCCTCTGGCTGAACACCAGCTCCTCGGCTCCGGGGAAGGGCCTGACTGGAGGTCGTGTGCGTGTCACACAGAAGCAACGTGTTGCCTTCTGTCGGGACATGAGCTGACCCAAAATATGCAGCCCGTTTCTTGGTCCTGGAGGTTTTCACTTTGGGACTAATGAGCACAACTTCTAGTAACCCGGTGCAGCTGGCTGGATCCACCTCTGGGAATCTGTTCGTGAGTGTACTGAGACTGCACTTCCATCCTGAGCAACATGCTCCTGCACGGGTTTGTAATTACAGGAACACCCTGAAATGCTTACTTGGCTGATGTCGGATCCAGACGTTTTGCCAGGCAGTGACAGAGAGCAACCTGCAGCCTGGCAGCCACTCGCTTTGCTGTCCAGTAGTTGATTAGTGTGGTGCATGTTTTTACGCTATTTTTCTAGTTTCCTATAAGATTTTAAATACTGTTCGCAGAAATGGAATAATTACACCCTCGTTACTGACACAGGGCCTCCCTTTCACTTTTAAAACTTCATTGACACCATGGCCATGCATATCTGCTGATTTAAGTAACTTGTAAATAGGATTTAGGCAAGTACAGTGCAATGACTGGGTTCTTTTAAAGTTAATAGTCTAGGGCCGGGGATTTAGCTGAGTGCTTCCACCACCTCCCTCGCAAGTGCAATGACCCGAGTTCGATCCCTGGTACAAAAAAAAACCCTAAAATTAATAGTCTGTAGCAGTGTAATTATAAATCATACACTTAAGTGCTCTTAGACATAAACAATAAGCAATTGTTCTGTGTTCCTCTCAGCTCTTTGTTGTGTCGAACTTTGGGGTTGAACCCAGGGCCTCACATGGGAGGCATCTGCTGCTGAGCTACCCCAGCCTTCAACCTTTTGCACTAAGCTCCATCCCCAGCTCTTTTTAAGTCTATTTTTTATTTTGAGGCAGGGTCTCACTAAGTCTCAGAGTTGCCTAGGCTGGGCTGAAACTTGTAGTCTTCCTCAGCCTCTCAGAGTACAAGAATTACAGGTGTACACCACTGTGCCTGGCTCTGATATCTCTTTATTAATAGGGAGTTACAGGCTGTTGCTGCTGCTGGGAACGCCACCTCTTTTGCCATTTGGCTGGCTGCTTTTTCTTCTGGGCTGGCCAGCCTGCCCCCCAGCCTGCCCCCCACCCTGCTGAGGAGAGGCCTTCCTGCTACGCGCTCCAGGGGCCACTGTACTTCTGGTGTAGCCCTCATTTGCTCCGCCGTCGGCTCCCAGCAGAGCCTGGATCAGTAGCCGGCTCACCCGTGCACTTAGAAGTGAAGCATGTGTGCTGGAAAATCTATTTTGCTGCTGCTGTTGTTTGAGACAAGGTCTTGCTACGCAGTTCGGGCTGGCCTTGAACTCGCAGCAGTCCTGCCCTAGCCCGGGAGTGCTCCTGAATAACGGCCCCTTCTGTCCTGGAGCTGAAGTGGTTGAGGGGGGGCAGAGAAGTAAATCCAGGGCAGAGGATGAGAACTTGCACTGCACACACATGCCCCTGGGTTTGACCCCAACACCACAATAAATGTAAATACCTGTGTGCAGGTGTGTCACACTTTAGAATCCGACACGGATGTGTTGCTGCCAGGGTCAGGGGCCTGAAGGGTTGCTTCCAAGGGTGAGGTCCCCAAAAGAAAGAAGGCACACGAAGCCAACATCAGGAACTAGGGCAGATGTCTCTGTTCCTCTACACAGCCTCACATCGCGACCAAGTAACACATGCTCTTACCTAAGTGTGCGCATGTGCCAGATGGTGGGGTTGTGTCCTTAGGGGTCCTCAGGTGCCATGGGCTTTGAATCAATCAGAAGTGATTTCCTACAGTTGTCCACTATGGAGCCAAGGCTGCTCTATTAAGGAGGCTGAGCCGGGCGTGATGGCGCATGCCTGGAATCCCAGCACTTGGGAGGCTGAGGCAGGAGGATCACTGAGAGTTCAAGGACAGCCTTAGCTACCCAGTGAGACCCTGTCTCAAAACCAAAACAGCCTGGCAGGCACAAGGCCCTGAGTTCAATTCCTGGTACTGAGAAGATCAAAACAAAACAAAGAATGGAGGCCAAGGACCTGGAGGCAGAACAGGGAAAAGGAATATCCTTCCCTGGTCACCCCGAAAACCCAGTCAGAGATGGGGCCTCCAACTGAAACACTCGAGGGGCCCCTCGGCCAGTCACTTTCCCCTCCATCTTCCCTTCCTGGTCGCCCCATGACAAACAGAAAACCTTTGCCCCTAGGGTGCCAAGCAGACAGTGCCTGTGTGTGTGGCCAGTGTCGTTCCAAATGGATAATCTGTGAAAACCACTTCTACATACGGAGGTCATTTGCAGACGGGAGTGAATGATGTCTGGACAGCCAGGTTGTGGGAAAGTCAGTGGATGGGGTGGGTGTGGTAGCTCATGCCTGTAATCCCAGCCCTAGAAGGCGGAGGCAGGAAGATCTGAGTTTGAGGCCAGCTTGGGCTACATAGTGAGTTCAAGGCCAGCCTGGACTATAGAGCAAGGCCCTGTCTCAAAAAACAAATTAAAGAGCTAGGGATTTAGCTCTGGTTCTGCCGCCTGCCTCAAAAGCACAAGGTCCTGAGTTCCATTCCAGTGGAAAAAAAAAAGAAACAACAAAAATACCACCAAAAGAGTCATGGACGGAATCTGAGGACTACTTTTACTCGAAGGTAAAACATCAGAGGGCCAAGGAAGGCTGACCCAGCCCTGGAAGCAGAGCCGCTGCACAAAACTAAATGAAGGTAAGACTCACTCTCCACACCCGTGCCCAGTCCTGGCTGTGCAAAGACATCAGTGGCTCCCGAAGGCAGGGTGCCACAGGACACAGACAATCCAAGGTCAAGGTGAAAAGCTCAGGGTCACAAATTACAGACTTCGGACTCTAACTCTGGCCCTGTGGCCTGAGGAATCACCAAACCACTTAACTTCTCCTGCTTGTGTGTCCCAGGCAGCTCGTGCTATGCTGTGAGGCTTTGTAATGACCCAAAAGACCATACAGAGCACTTCTGCCCGAACCTCAGAGGCAGACCCGAGTTATGGGGAGCCCAGTTTGGGGTACCCTGCTCAAGAGAAATTTTAAAGACCTAGGAATGCAAAGTTGACATGGTAATGAATATTGAGGGAAGAAATAAAACATTTTTAAAAGCACAAAACCCAGAAAAAACAAACCCTAATAAATGAGTTGCTCCTCCGGTCACTGTGATACTCTTCCCTACACTTCTTGGTCACTTTCTCTCTTCTCTTTTGTACCAGGAACGGAACTGAGGACCTTGTGCTTGCCAGGCAAGCATGATGCCACTGAGCTACATCCCCAGCCCCTGCATTCTCTTTAACTGCCTTTTCAGATGACAATTTTGTGATGTTGTCTAGAGAGAATAAAAAGGGCCACTGTCTTTTGCCAGGATGGGTCAGTTTTCTGTCATTGGTGATTTGGAAAAGTCCCTAGAGGTTGCCTCTCACTAGTCCTGGCTGTCGGCTCTGCGTTGCTGTTGGTGCTGTTCTTGCACATAGGGCCTCGGGCTCCCTCGTCCTTACCGGCCCACAGGACGCTTCAGACCCATCGCAGTCTCGGCCCGCACTTGGTGCCGTCTAGCGAGTCGGTCCGGTGCAGTTTGTGCTGGCTCTCCCTGCAGTCGGCTTGGAGGAAACATGGAGAAGGCTGCTAGCCACAGGAAAACACCGCACCACGCAAGCCCAACGCGTGGCCAGTGTGGCCTGCTCCTGCGCCTCTGGAGAAGGGCTGGTGTGACAGGCTGGCCCCAGAGGAAGAGAGGTGGCTTTCATGTTCACAGAGGGCTGGGATGTGGCTCAGCGGCACAGCGAGGTCCTGAGTTCGATTCCCAGTACCAAAAAATAAATCAAAAATTTAAAAAATAAAGTCACAGAAACAGAACCAAGGGAACACACGTCTTCCGGCCTTCTGATGCTCTGGAAGGGCCTTGGCCGAAGGGGAACCTGAAGCGTGGCCTTCACCAGCTGCACAGTGAACCGGACCTGAAGCTCCGCGGAGTGGGAGGCCTGGGGGCCAGCACAGCCCCGGCTGCCAGGCAGGGCCAGGCTCCACGTCTCCAGCAGGGCGCCCAGGGCTGCTCCTGTGCTCAGTCAGTAGCGGACCACGCGGTGTGCAGGCAAGGGGTGACAGTGAGGAGGCGCCCCGGAGGGCCCGGCCAGCAGGCAGAGGAGGACCTTATAATCCAGTGTGGCCTGGTCCTGTGCGGCGCCCTGGGGAGGCCGGCCTCGAGAGCCAGAGCTCGGGGCTGGGCATGGGGTCGGGAACCCCGCTGGAGCCTCGGGGTGATGGGCTTGGTGGGACATTGGGTCGTGGTGGTTATGGTTTAACTAAATTTGCTAAGAATCACGTGTACTTTTTCATGCATGAAAATTATGTAAATTACACCTCATAAAGCTTTTTAAAAAGCTAAATCAGGCGTTCAAATGTGAAAGGTTGCAATGTGTAAGCAGTATCTACTCATCTCCCTATTGGCTTTTGGAGACAGAGTCTCGCTATGTAGTTCAGAGGGCCTGAGAACTCACTGCGATCCTCCCGCCTCAGCCTCTGGAGTCCTGGGGTCACAGGTGTGCGCCACCGGGCCCACCCTGTAAGCGGTGTTTAGGGATGACTGACTGGTCCCTGTCCGGAGCACACTGCGGCCAAACTCACTACTCCAGAATCGTTGCGTGCCGGGACATCGACCCTTCCGTCCCGTGGCCAGCAGTTCTGGCGGAGCCCAGCGGGCCCAGCTTATGTGGAGGTGGATGGTGAATCCTCTCCAGCCTCCCTCCCTCCTGACTCAACTCTACTTTCCTTTGGCTCCCATAGGGGAATAGACTGGGCGGGGCAGTGCCTTTCTTTCCCGTGAATTTCCTGTTTAATGTGCTCGGCCTGACCAGGCAGCTGCAATGGGAACACAGGCGCTGGTTAGCAGTTGCCTATGTCTATTTTCATGTAGCAGGCATTGAGCCCAGGGCCTCTGCACTGAGCTACAGCCCCAACCTCACCCCCTTTTACAATTTTCATTTATTTTGAGACAGGGTCTCTTTGTCACCAAGTTCCCCAGGCTGGGCTCGAATTTGCGATCCGGTACCTCGGCCTCAGGAGCAACGAATCACAGGCGCAAGCGCGGTGGCTTTCACTGGGACTCCGGCGATGCTCGGGCAGGGCCGGGCCAAGCACTGAGAAGAGAGGAGTTTGTTCTCCCGCCCACAGAGCGGGCAGCCAAAGGCAGGTGCGGGTTGTAGGGCACGGGCCTCCCCGACAGTTTCAGCCTCCAGGAGCCCAGCCCTTTCCTTTGCTTTCCCCAGGCCGGGCTCGCGCTGAGGATTCACCCCCCTTGTCCCACGTCTGCCAACTCCGCTTCCTTAACCCATGCCGCTCGCGCAACTGCAACGCGTACTTCAGCGACGCGAGCAGCAGGAAAGGCCCAATGTGGCCCAGCGTGAAGAGTCTGGGCTCAGTCCCCAGTGCCCACCAGAGCGCCACCCGTCGCTTGTCCGGCCCGCTCGCGGACGCCGCCGCCCTGGAACCGAAATTAACTGTGCAGGCGAGTCGTAGCTCCGTCCTGCTGGAACCGAGCAGGGCGAAAGCTTGTTCAGGTTCTTCTTCGGGACAGGGTTCCCTGGAGCAGGGCCGGGCACCTGCGCACCTGTGGCCGCGCCGTGTGGGAACCAGGCCAGCCGGCCCTGGCCTGCGGAGACCTTCCTGTCTCGGCCTTCCCTCTCGGGGGTGGGCCCCACGCG